AGCTACATGTAAAGCTGTACTTCCTGTTCTTTGTGCTAGATCGAGTTCAGCTCCTAGTTCTATTAAATAATTGACAGCTTCAACATTGCAAGCACGGGCGGCACAATAAAGAGCAGAGTGTCCCGTTTGTGGATCTTTTGCATTTATCTCTCTTAATGTAGCATTTTGTAAACGAGTTTTTAATTCGCTTGCAAGATCAGGTTCAGCAGCTAATTGTTGTAAAGTATAGTTTTCTAAAGGTATATTTTTTATCCATTCTTCATTTTGATCATATTTTTTACGTTTATCATGATCAGATAATGTTTCATAAGCACGACAAAATGCTCGAAAGACTTCAGCGGCAGTTTTATGATTTTCTGGATTTTGAAGTCGATATTGTTTAAATTCAAGAATTCGTGCACGGTGTGCTATACGTAAATCATAATCTGTATCGGTCTTATTTGCTCCAAGTATCTCGTAGGGTTTTGAAAGTGCGTCAGGTGATTTTGAAGATGAATCGACTAGTTTTGACGTTATCGGTCCCATCCTTTTTTTATCGTTATTTGCAAAATATGTCGCACGAAAAGAAGTCTTACTTATTAAAAAGAAATAAAATACTTTGAAGAATACTTTTTCATATTCTTTTACTCAATCTCTTTTTCTTATCGTGTTCTCTTACTTCGCAGGGTTTTTTTCATTTATAATGCACAGTCGGTATATCTATGGGAAAGTTATGAAAACATTACAAGTAGGCAACTTCCGACCCCGAATAGCTCAAGCTTGGCCATGGTCGTCCTTCCTAATGCTCGGTCGTGTTTGTTTGGACTCTGTGAGATTCGCTCAGGCTTTGCTAGGCTTTCGATGAGCCTAACTATGACAGACTCTAACCCTGACCATCCCAAGGTCGAACCGAGCCGGAGCCTGACGAAGTCCAAGTTAGACCCAGTCTGATCTAGCCAGGATCTGACCAAGTCTGAGCGTGATCGAACCAGAACCGGGATCGAGTCGATCAAGTCGAAACTGCTCGGTACATTCCTAATTACAAGTATTCTCGTAATAACGTTTACCTTACACAAGCGATACACCGTTTTCTACTAATCACTTTTTACTTTTTCATGTAAGGAGACAGAGAAGATAGATAAACAACGGTCCTTTTTGATAAAGTTGAAGAATTCAAATTTTTCAGTTTATCTAGTCATATCTCTTTTAGTTTTATTTCTGTTTAGTTTTTAATTATTAACTCAAGCGCCTACAAAAAGAAATTTGCAAAATTCTACGTTTAAACGCGTTCTGTTATTAATTCGTATGCTTTCGTTCGTTGGACTAGAAGCACATTTTTTCCTATAAAAGTCTTTTCTATCCGTCTATTCATGATGATTATTTTATTATATTTACATTATTCTATTAACCATGATTTATTGAGTAAATCTCAATGCTCTTTTAACAAAATTATCAACACAATGAGCCTTGCAAAGTTGCACAGACGAAAAACTTCCTAAGAGGCTTGCTTTGTTTTGTGGTTGATTATTCATGGAAGTATCCATCCATACTCCGACTCGTGAGCCTTTTGTCGGTGGCAGATACTTCGATTTTTAGCAATATTAACTTCTATATATATTTTTTGAACTCTTTTTGAATTTGCAGTGGACAAGTTACTGATAAATATACAATAAAATGATGTAACTAGGATAGAACCACTAATATAGATGAACAGATAATTAAAAATTGATATTGCCATAATATATATTTTCACAAGATAAATTTTCTATTCATTCTTGTTTTTTTTTTGTTTTTATAATGATGCATCAATGTTTTTCTAGGACGACAATCAGCACTCCTGAGATATTAGGTGAATGTATCGTTTATCTATATGAGAGCCATCTGTCAGATAGATATAACTTTGAAAATTATAAGAAGACAAGTAAGATTTATTCAAAAGAACTTGTTATTTTACAATCTGAAAAGGCAAAGAATTTTGTTAAACACATTTATCCAATGAAAATGCTACATGTGTCTATTGCTTTTTATCAACTCATAGTCATTATTACAATATAAGTTTGTCAACTAAAGATAAGAGATACCAAAAAGAAACGACAAATAGATGAATATTTTCGTAATGCATCATTTTGGTTATCGAAGGAACATAAGAGAGTGAGAAATATAAAGAAACATAAAGAACAGGTAATAAAAATGAAAGACAATTATTATCGGTATGACTCGTAAACTGTGTTTGAAGAGTGGAAACAAAAGATGAACATTATGATCATTATTTGCCAAATCTTTATATTATAAAAATACTCGAGCCATATATGTGCGTTGCCCTCATGGAGTATAAGCAGTAACACCACCAAATAACTTTGATATCGGTGACGACGATTGAGTGAATGTGGGTCTGAATCTTATCTCAACTCATACATCCATAGCTCACACCCACACTTGATTTCAAATCACTTTTTTTCACAGCATATTCATAGATCTATTAATTGCTGGCAATTAGAAGTTTTAATAACTCACATAATAAGCCTAGCATATTTTTGGCGATTTCATATTATGCAACATAAGTTTTTTTTTGCATGATTTACTGTTGTACATTCAACAAAAATAAATGTATGTCAAGTATATTTGTATGATTTGATCCTTTCAACGTATTGTTGCAATTATGTATAGATAATATTACATCATAAATTAGAATGATATTTCTACAAGCTAAGGAATAAATATATTCAACTTTTCTCTCAGAGAATCCATCTCGAACCAAAGGATATCACTATGTCCATTAGGAATCGACGGCATGATTGTGAGAAAAACACGTGACATGCATATAATAGAAATGCATGAAAAGGATCAATTTATGTATAGAAAAAAGATGATAAGTGCAAAAGTCTTTAATCCATTATGAGTCTTCAATTATTCATAACTCGGAAATAATAGGTTGATACGTAGATAATTAATATAATGCAATACATACATGCAAATAACATTTAATGTCCAATCGATATTCGAGATAGATCAAAACATTCTTTACGAATTTCGGGAGCACCCATATTTGATACTAGGAGGTTAAAAAAGCTGTGAGCGTCGGTGTCGGTGTGGGTGTAACAGAATGGACTCAAACCCACATCCATACTCAGGATAGAGTTGTTATATGCATTATTGTAGACGAGGCATTCTACTATGTACTCATGCAATAAAACTTTCGATATCAACTATTTCATAAAATTTTAAACACAGGGCTTTGAACTTTTGGTTAACCCTAAGTAAATCAAACAAAAAGTATTTTGCACTTTGCATGAATAATTTATATAACGTGCTAATCAACTAATCATTGTTGCATCAACAATATATTCTTCATCTAATCGAAACATATATATTCCATGGTTTTGTTGTTCATTTAGTTTTTATCGTTTATTAGCAACTTGATAACGTGTTAATTCACTAATATATTTAATAAACATTGTATGTTTTTCAAGATCATGTCTAGCACATAAACGTAAATCCTAGAAAATACTAGTCATTAGTAAATACATACTTCAAGTGGTGGGGAAAAGTTTCGAATCGAAGTATTTTTGACTATTTTTTAATGGTAGTAGCTAGAACGAATTGAAAAAAAGATTTCAATAGCTGAAATCATATCTCATAATGAGCCCTTACTTATCAAAGTATCATTAACAGATTCGGATAAAATATTTCTAAAAAACTAAGGTTTATAAAAGATCTTTTTCCGGATTCGATCCAGAATGTTTTACATATAACCTCATCTGGTGGAACAAAGACTTTGAGGAAAATGAAATCTCCCCGAACTCTTTATGACCTATCCTCATTGAACTGTACTTATTCGGTGCAAAGTCCTAATGTATAGAGCACAGTAAGTTTTCACAAAAACATCAGGAAACAATGATTTGTGTTCGCGTGTCAACCCAATCTGACAAGATTTGTCTTTCACACAGCCTTTGTCATTCGCTAAAAATTGGTCGTAGAGAGCTTAGCGACATTTTATTTCATAGAGAAATATTTTGTATATAAGATGAATATTTTTACAAAATATTTTTGGTATGACTCAGAAAACTAGTTGTATGACTTTTAGTTTCTCATACACGTTCCATCCAAACCTAGTAATGCAAATTTGACTAGTATCTCTTCTGATAGAAAATTAACTCAACTCTTCAAATCTTTCCTCTATTTTCTTCTAGCCGTTATCCGTAAAGAAAAAAAGTCAATAATATTTGTTTTTTAAACTTATCTTCATTTTCTTAAAGAGCAGTTCGATTCACTTGAATACATGATTTAGTTTGAAATACATTTTGAGGTCATTCATTTTTTAATTTTCGCTATTGAGTCGATTTTGATAGAAAAGAAAATGTTTAACATATGAAATTTGAATACCCAAAATACCAAAGAAATTTCAAAATCAAAATCAAAATCAAAATCATTTATTTTCTTTTTACCTTCAACTCGGAGTACAGTTCTTAGTAAAGCACATCGAGTTGAACGTGAACTTGTCAATGTTTGTGCACATTTAAATATTTTTGTTTAGCTATATTTATTTGAAAAATCTATTTTTTTACCGTCAAAAATGAGTTTGCAATTTTGGTTCACTTCTTGCACAAGCAGTTGTATTAAGTCTTAAAAGCATATCAAGCAATTGTAATCGTTTATATTTAAAAGCATAATTGTGTAATATTTCAACTTCTGGTAATGATTCAATTAAACGTACACTATGTAGTTCTTTAAAATGAATAAATTATTAAAAAAGAAACAAATTCATAAATTAATATCAATTAATTGACAGTAAATCTATATAAATCTTTATCACTAACAAATATTGAAAAAATTTCTACAAAACCATGTTGCCATCTTAGAGAATCAATTGCATCAACAATTTTATCCCAAACTAATTTAGCACTTGATTCAAGAAATTCTTGTGCTAATTCATCTTCATCTTCTTTTATGCATATTCGAAACATTGATTTATAATTAGCATCACTTATTAAACAGTTATAAGCACAACGACGATTTGGACGATCCCTTTCACCTATAAAATCGTGTTAGAGTATATCGAACCTAAGATTAATTCAAATTTATGTATTTATTTCATCAGGAAAAGTAATAAATTATACAATAAATAAAATTTCGATAATGAAATAGTGCTGCTTGTAATTGATCAGGCAACAGTTCCCCAATATTATGATATATAACATTACCAATGACGAGGGTATACTATATTTCTTCAAGCTCTTCAGTAGTGTGAGTAAAAAAAAAGAATAGTTAAAATTTTTCATACAAACTTAAAGAAATAAAATTTTTGTAAGATGATCAATGCAACTTGAATAAGATAAATTTACAATTAACAGTTTAGTGATGAATAAAAATTAAAAGATTTTATTTATTTTTTCCTCAAAGGTAATTACTATCTACAAACATCTAGGTCGAATAGAATGACCTGTAAAAGGTTGTAAACGACTCAACAACGGCCAAAATCAGCGTTCGCTCTGATGATCATTCATGATACAGCCTAAACTACAGGAAGCCAGTGTTAAACGATATCCGTTACGATCTTCGTGAACGTTCTAGAGAAAACAACCATTGTTTGAACCGCCAATTTAACGCCATTTTCAAGTTGTTTCGACATGAAATCAAAAGAAGTATGTTATAAACATTATTAGATATTTTTGAAGTGTTTTGCACAGATTGAACAAAACTTCGTTCTTGTTTTATGAAAGTTTGCTTTTTTTTGTTAAAATACGGATCCAATTAATTTTTTGAACTCGTTTAAGTACCGATGAATAGATTTTGTTCAGATCTATTCAACGATATGACGTGCACTCTACCAAAATGATTCTATGCTTTGGCACATGATAATAGAATGTAGTTTGTGTTGATAAATTCGTAGGTAGAAGTGCTATTTATGTGTTGAATGCTCCGTATAATTATAGAAAGTATAAACAGTGTTACTTAAGGTGGCATTGGAGTGATGAAAATGAGCCGTATACGGTAAAAAAAAGCAGTGTTAATATGACAGTAGAACAAAAATCCCACAACAAAAGAGTTAAGAAATGTATCTCGATTATTGAATGTGCTAGAATTTATGAGCAGACAAATCATACAACCAATGTAAGAATTATAAAGAAGTAATAACCGTAAAAAGATAACATTTATTATTCATTTCTCATTTAACACTTTGGATTAACAACATGTGTGCCAAATCTTACGTTCAAAAACTAGGAGTTAACAGGATATTGTGACTTAAAAACAAGAGAAAAGTCAGTAAACTTTTATCGAAATCAGAAAGCCATTTAGCTATTTTGTTTTGAAAAGATTTGAAATTTACGTTTACGTAAGCGATATATATTTTCTTCTCTCAAGTTAGTAATGTCTAAATTTTTCTTTGGGTGTTATAAAAAAAAATAACAAGAATAATTATACAAATTCTATATTCTTAGTCATTCATAAAATTTGCGGATAAAATACAAAATAAACTTTACTTAGAAACTGATATTTATCTAAACGAAATGAGCATATAGAAAGAATA